CCCTTCTTTTCAAAAGTACGTGTTTCACTCGTTACCACGTGGAAGAGCCTGGGAGACACGATGTCGAGTGAAAGAAGCCAGACACGAAGGCCACGTGTCGCAGGATTCCGTTCCCATGAACCGTCCAGAAGAGGCGAGCGGAGGCGGGGCGGAGATTGTGGGTGCCAGGGGCTGGGAGGGGAGTGGCGAGCGACTGCCCGTGGGTGCGAGGTGTCCTCTTGGGGTGATGAAAATGTTCTAACGCGGATTCTGGTCATGGCCGCACAACTCCCCAGATACGTCAGGAGCCATTGACTCGTACACTGTAAAGAAGTGAGTTGTATGGTATGTGAACTCTATCTCAGTAAAACTGAAAAATAATAAAAACAGAGCAGAGGTTCTCAGCTGTGGGGACTCGTAGACCAATGCAGCAGATAAAGTCAGACCAGGCGCTGAAAGCAGCGTGGTGGTCTGCCTTCTCCCCAGTCCACCCGCACCCCTGAGTCTACCTTGGGTTGGTGCTCAGAGACCGCGTACTCCCTGGAGGAAGAGTAAGACTTCGAGAGCTCATGAGGGGACCAGTGGTAGGCTACAGTCCCCTTCTGTGTTAGAGAATCCTGGAGTCCCCTCCTTTGTCCTTTTCCCATTGACTGGCTAGCTCTGAACATAGTGGCCCCAGTCCTCTCCGTCTGTGGGGCCCCATGAGCTCCGAGGTGCTGCTGCTTCGGTGGTGGGAGGGGCGGGGAATATATGTCCCAGGCCTGATCCTATTAGTATTTTTTAAAAACTGGCCAGTTTGGCCCAGCGGTTGAGCATCGGCCTGCGGACCAGAGAGTCCTGGGTTCAGTTCCCTCTAGGGGCATGTACCAAAATAAATAAATAGATAAATAAATTTACATGCTAAAAAAATATATATATTTTTTCTTTATTGATTTGAGAGAGAGAGGAAGGGAGAGGGAGAGAGAGAAAGAAACATCGGGGAGAGAGAACATCAATTGGCCGCCTCCTGCACACCCTCCACTGGGGATCGGGCCCACAACCTGGGCATGTGCCCTGATCGGGAATCGAACCGGCGACCTCTTGGTGCATGGGTCAATGCTCAACCACTGAGCCACACCGATTGGGCGATCCTAATAGTATTTTAAATTAAGACTGACTTTGAGCCTGGAACTCGTGCTCTGGTAAAGAGAAGTTACAATGACTGTTGGTTCAAGGGCCTGCTTTTTATGAGTGGGGAATTGTAATTTGGCTTTGCAGGGTGAAGAAAGGCGCTCTCTGCCTCCACCTGATCTGTCAGAGAACCTTTGCCTCTACCTAAGACGCACTGTCCTGAGATAGTCCACATTCACAGCCCCGCCTGTGCCGAGCAGCCTCGCCCACCAGTGCCAGGGGAGGGGCTGGCGTCAGCCCTCATGTTTCTGGCACGCAGGTCGGCACCGTGTGCTAGGGAGCGTTCACAGCTGCGCGGGGGCTGTTCTAGAGCATGACCGGTTGTATCAGTTTGCTGCTGGTGCGTAACAAACAACTACAAATGTAGCAGCTTACAATGCATTTATCATCACGTGGCTCAGGTGGGTCCTCGGCCCAGGGCCTCACAGGCTGCTTGGCTGGGGAAGGTCCCACCTGCAGATTCATTCGGGTTGTTGGCAGAATTCATTCGTCTGTGTGGCTGAGGGCTGCTGTGAACATTCAGGTGTTGTGTGGACACATGTTTTTGGTTCTCCTGCATATCTAGCTGGGAGTGGAATTGTGGGGGGTCATATGATAACACCATTTTTTGAGGAATTTCTAGGCCCTTCTACATCATTTTACAATCCCACCAGGGTCACACATGTTTTTGACTAGTTGCCGACACTTAATAATCATGAAAGTGCAGCTTTTAAAAATGGATTCCCAATTTCCTCTTGAAAGATCAGATTTGACTGTGGCTGGTTTGGATCAGTGGTTAGAGCGTCGGTCCAAGGACCAGTGAGTCGTGGGTTCGATTCCAGTCAAGGGCACGTACTTCAGTTGCAGTTTGATCCCTGGCCCTGATCGGGGTCATGTGGGAGACAACCAATCGAATTGATGTGTCACATCAATGTATCTCTCTCTCTCTCTCCCCCCTCCTCCCTCTCTCTCCCCCTTCCTTCCTCTCACTCTTTCTGGGGAAAAAAAATCAATGGAAAAATATCCTTGGGTGAGGATTTTTTTTTAATCCTCACCCAAGGATATTTTTCCATTTATCTTCAGACAAAACAGGAGGGAGAGAGGGAGGGAGGGAGGGAGGGAGAGAGAGAGAGAGAGAGAGAGAGGGAGGGAGAGAGAGAGACATCAATGTGAGAGAGACACATCGATTGGTTGCTTCCCACACGACCCCAACCAGGGCTGGGGATGAACAGCAACCAAGGTACATGCCCTTGGCCGGAATTGAACCCACGAATCTTTGGTCTTCGGGCCAACGCTCTAACCGCCAAGCCAAACCAGCCAGGGCAAACATCATCATTATTATTTTTTTTTTAAAGAAAGATCAGCCCTGGCTGGTTTTGCTCAGTGGTTAGAGCAATGGCCTACGGACCAGAGTCGTGGGTTCGATTCGGTCAAGGGCACTTACCCCGGTTGTGGTTCAGTCCTGGCCCTGGTTGGGGTCATGCAGGAGGCAACCAATCGATGTGTCTCTTTCACATCAATGTCCCCCTCCCGCCCCCAATCTGAAGATAAATGGAAAAATATCCTTGGGTGAGGAATAAGAAAAAATAAAAAAGAAAGATCAGATCTGGCAAGATGGGGCAAGTCCCTCCATACCACCCCCGCTGGGGCCGAGTGGGGTGCCCCACATTCTTACCCACCCAGTGCCTGGGTTATGGTTCACCCTCCTGGCCCCCACGGGCTTGTGTGTTTGGATCTCTTGTCCCTTCTGTACCCACTCCCTTTCAAAACCTGCTCCCCTTGAAGGCCTAGTTCAAATTCTGCCTGCTCCAGGAAGCCTGCCTGGATTTCCTCGCCCATATGGAGTTCTTTCATTCTCGAACTCTTACAATGCTTGCCCAGTCGTGTTCTCTCTGTCTGCTGTTCTCTAATTAAAATCTGCGCACCTCCCACCCTGATTGCTTTGTAACAGCCAAGTTTTCTCCCAACTGCTTGGGTTCAAATCCCAGTAGTCCCTGGAGCTGGCTGGACGGGTCATCCTGTGACTCACGGTGAACACAGCAGCCCGGTCGAGTTTTCCGAGACGATCAGGGCAAGGTTGCAAGAACACCTGAAACCTGCCAGGGTGGGATTTGGACGGGGCTCCAGGGTCCCTGGCATGTGGACGCCCCCTCCCCGAGTCCCGAGCAAGCCAGTGAGTGAATGAATGACGTGAGCTGGGCCAGGGCGCCGCCTCCCCCCGGCTCCAGCCTAAGCCGCCAGCACGCCTGTGGGACTTGCAGGGGCTGTGGTCTGGGTTGTGGGACCATATGGATCTCGTAAATTAAAGAGTTCCCGGAAACGAGCGGTAAATGTATCCATCTCTCGCACACGGGGCTGGTGGAGCCTGTGCTCACCCAAGGAATTCTGAACCATCCATCTCTCTTAGGTACTTTGGTTTTATAGCACTAATCCCTGAAAAAAACAAAAAACAAAACTGGATCAACATGAAGTTGCTTTTCTGCGGTCATGTGGGCCCTGGAGCTCATAATCAGGAAGTGGGGGTTGCCAGCCCCCGGGACTGGCTCCCAGGTAGCTGCAGTTGGTTACTCGGGCCCTGAAACACACACAGCGGCTTAGCTCACCCCCTCCTGCCCAGGCCTCTGAGGTCGGAGGGGAGAGCCCAGAACCTGAAGCCCTCCTGACCTGGGCCCACCCTGTCTTGGCGTCCTGAGCTTCTGCCGCCCCTCTCCGAGCCTCAGTTTCCCCAGATGTGAAAAAGGGGTGGGGCAACCACGACAGAGTCAGAAAGACAGAAAGTGGAACAGTGGTCACCAGGGGCCGAGGGAGGGAAATAGGGAATTAGTGTTTAATAGGGACAAAGTTTCCATTTGGAATAAAGGAAAAGGTCTGGAAATGGATGGTGTTGATGGTTGCACAACATCATGAATGAACTTAATGCCATTGAAAAATGGTCAAGATGTTACCCTGGCCGGTTTAGCTCAGCAGTTAGAGCATCGGCCCGTGGACCGAAGGGTCACTAGTTTGGTTCCCAGACAAGGGCACGTACCTGGGTTGCAGGTTCAATCCCGCGACCTGGTCACAGTCGTGCGGGAGGCAACCAGATGTGTCCCTCTCATGTCGAAGTTTTTCTCTCCCTCCCATTCACTCTATCTGAAGATAAATAGAAAAATATCTTCGGGTGAAGATTTAAAAAAAACAATACCAAAAAAGGGCTTAAGGTGAGGGATACAGGATGACTACCCTCCTGGATGAACTGAAGATTAGTTAGGTTTGCCATGGCCGATTTGGCTCAGTGGTTAGAGCGTCGGCCTGCGGTCCAGAGAGACCCGGGTTCGGTTCCCACTAAGGGCATGTACCTCGGTTGCAGTTTGTCCCCAGCCCTGGTTGGTTGTGCAGGTGGCAGACACTCGATGTGTCCCTTTCACGTTGATGTTTCTCTCTCTCTCTCTCTCTCTCTCTCTCCCCCTCCTCCTTCCACCCTGTCTGAACAAAAAATGGAAAAATGTCCTCGGGTGAGGATAAAAAAAATTAAAAAAAAAAAAAAAAGATTACTTAGGTCTCTCTTTGCAGTTATAATTAACTAGTGGGTAGTCACTGCCAGCTTCCATGCAGAGCTGAGTGGGCTCGGGGTGGTGGGGCCTGCGGATGGAACCCCAGTGTCCAGCAGCCCGGTGTTCCTGGACAGGGTTTACTGGGAGAGAAGGACACTTGCACTGGCTTAGCTGGCAACCAGTCTCCACTGCCCTTCACCAGCCAAGCTGAGTCCCCGACCACAAAGGCCAGGCCATTATGGGGGAGGAAGGTGCTCAGTGGCCCAAGGGACCTACTTACTGGGCTCCTCCAGGCAGGTGTGGCCAAGACTCACCATGTCTACCCTCCTGTCATTCCAGGTCACCTCTGCATCTCTCGAGACACCGACAGCCATCCACCCTCCGGCCCGGGAGCCCGAGCCCTGGCTGGGTACCCCAGCAGAGAGCCTGCTCCGAGGCCCCAAGACCGCCCCGGAGCTAGGCCCAGCCCGGTGTCAGCAGAGCAGCCTGGACGGGGCCGGACCAGACCTCACGGGCACAGGTAGATATACCAACTCTTTTCTATCTCCAGGATCTGGAGCGGATCATGCTGCCCCTGGCTGAGGGTTTTCCCAAAGCCAGTTGGCGCTCAGAGTTCCACCCAGGGGTAGAGTTTCCCATACTTGAGTTTGGATTTTTTTTTTAAGTCATCCTCAGGGATTAAACTGAATTGCGGTTTAATTGGAATCCTTGTGTCTTGACACCCACTCAGCCTTGATTCACAGACGGCCCTTGTTCGCTATACTGTATTTATGTATCTCTACATTCTAGTGTATGCACTCATTCATTTAAAAAATTAATGTAATGGATGCCCATGAACCTGTTACTCACCCAGGCACTAGCCGGCCCCTCAACCTCGATGCTCCCGCATGCTGCCCTGCCCCCGGCGGAAGCACCATCTCGGATTTGCTTTTTCTATAGCACCTGTGTTTGCCTAAACAGCCTGTGGCCCAGGTTTCCTGGTGGTTTGAGTTCTGTGTCCTGGGGGGGGTAGGGGGGACTTCGCTCACTCGGCGTGACAAGGTGCACCTGTGTTACTGTCACCAGCTGCCATGGTGCGCTCTTTTTTGCTGCCATGTTCTGTTCCGTTGTTGTCCAGCTTGACCCCATGTGTGCCCACGCTCTCGCCAGTGCATGGGATTATTTCTGGGTTTTATGGTTGTGGCTGCGCCATGTGCTGGCTCGCGTCTCTCGCAGGTGTTACCCTCAGCTGGGCCAGAGGGGATGGGGCATTCGCTTAAGGAAGGTAATGCCCACTGGTTTCCGGTGTGGGCATTTCAGGCCCACCCCACCAGCCACGGAGACTCTGTCTGCCCATCTGGGCACCGTCAGATGTCCTGTTTCCCGACGACAGAGAGGCTGGCCCCTCCTTGGCCGATGGGCCTGTGAGTGGGTCCCGAGGCACTGACTTGGGGCCTGTGGGCCCTGGCTGGGGGCAGTGAGTGGATCCCAGGTTGGGCCCTTTAGTTGGACTTCAGCATGTGGTGGACGCCTGTGTTCTTACCCAGGAGGGTCCCTTGGGCCATACTTCTGTCGGCGAGACCCCTCAGAGTGGGATCCTGTGTGTGTCCTGCCTTGTTGCTGCCCCCTGAGAGGCCTGAGCCCCGAGTCCCCAGCCAGCCTGTGTCTGCGCTGGCCCACAGTGTGGGCAGCGGGCTGAACGCTCTGCTTGAGCCGGGAGGAGACAGGCTAGCAGGTGGGGGGAGCGTGGGGGGTGTTGAGGCAGCTGGCCTGCCCTGTCCTCGTGTTGGGGCTTCCACCTGGGACAGCCATCTCCAGGGCAACCCCAGTACCCACTTCTTTCTCTCTGCGATGTGGATTCAGCAAGGGAAGGGGCTGGGCCTCAGGCCAAGGACAGACCCTGTGACCAGGAGCTTATTGGCGGATGAAGATGGGGTGGTCAGGAGGCAAGGGGGGGGCCTGCGGGCAGTGGGCAGGGATGCTTTTGGGGGAGCCATTCCTTCGGCTCCCCAACACACTCAGAGCCTTGGACAAGTATCTTCTCCCATTCCATGCCTCAGTTTTATCACCTAGGAAATGGGAATGAAGGCTAATTTGAGTGCCTGACTCACGGGGCCGATGTGAGAATTAATTAACCAGGACATGAAGAGCTTTCAGTGCACGTCCTGGCACCCCGAGTGCCCATAGGAGCCGGCTGGTATTAGTGCTCTTGTTATTTATAATTCCTAGTCACTCAACTGGCGCCTCCTCCAGGCAGCGTGGAGCACCCCTGAGGCTATTACCTTGACCTGCCTTCTCTCTCCAGCTGCCCCTCAGCTCTGGGTAATATCCTGCAAAACCATGACCCTTGGGGACACTACCCACCCCTCCTGGGCTGGTGAACGCAAGGCCCGGCCCCATGCCCTGGGGCTGCCTGGGGCAGGGCAGGGGCACAAGGCCCACGTTTGCCAGCTGCTCCCCATCAGGCAGCAACCCTGCGCGGAGGGTGGGGGTGGGTGCAGCCTCGCAGCCAGAGACCCGCCAGGAGCTCCATCCTGCTGTCAGGCCCCTCCCGGGAGGCTGCTGCTGCTCAGAAACATGACAGTGACTCATGGCTTATTGCACACCTGCCACCTCTCATCCAGGGGGCAGGCACAGCCCCGGGCCAGCTATGTACTGCCAGCTGGACAGCGGGGCAGGCACAGGGGGCGAGCACGTTCAGACATGTGGACAAACACAAGTGTGGGGACACACAGGGATGGACCTGGCAAATTCGCCACACACAAGTTTGCCCGCATGCACAGATACACGCATACAGATACACATGCACACACAAGCACCAGGATTCTCTTACACACATGCACACGCACACACACAACCCTGTTTCTTTCTCTCTCCAGAGCTCTGAATCCCCCTCTGTCTTCCCCACTATTCCTCCTGCCCCTGCAGTGATGGCTTCCACCCCAGTAAGGGCTGGGGCAGGGTCTTTTCAAGAAGGGCAGGGGACCGAGGGCAGGTCAGGGGATGCATCTATTGCTTGGGGGCATCACCACCCAATGCTGTGCTCATCTGACCCTCAGCTCCCTATAAATGTCCATTTTGTGGGGACAGCAGCATTTGCCATGGAAAGGAAGCTGTGATAGCAGGAACCCTTGTCGTGGGCCTGGTGGCTGGGTCAAGCGCCCCCAGGGACACACATGGCTACCCTGCAAAGTGGAGGCGGTGTGGTTCTCGGCACAGCTTTCCGGGTGCCCACCTCGGGTATGGTCACTTGCTGGCTGCAGGGAGCGTGGCTCCAGGGCTTCGGGGAACTGGCAGGCAAGGCACGAACCTTGCCCTGCCCGTCGTCTCCAGCCACGAGGCCGCCTTCCCTTAGAGGGCGGCAAGCCCCCAGCTCCGCTCTTTCCAATACCCTTCAGCCTTTAGTCAGAGGAAGATCCGTTTCTCCTGCGTCACTTGCATGCGGTGTAAAACCAGCGCGAGGACAGTCCTAATTCATCACCCACGGATGGGAACATTCCTGAGCCATTGTCTTTGTGCTGCCGCAGCCTCCTTGGAAGAGAAGCAGCACCATCTGGGGATGAGCAGGGGCGTGGCTTGGTGTCAGAGACCCAGGTTCAAGTTTCCAAGGCTCAGCACTGCCGAGTGCCAGCCACAGAACTTTTGCAAGGCTCAGAAAATTCCCAAAGCTTAGCTGCTCCAAGTAGGCGTGACACAGATGAAATCTTCCTTGTCACATAGTATCAGTGACGGGGGATGAACATCAAGGAGGCACCCAGCTGCCGTGCAAGGTTGCGCCGCGTACACACTGCACAGCTCCAGGGGGTGCCATTCGTGGTCTCTGTAGACGTGCTCCCCGCGTGGCCACCAGGGCTGCCACACTGCCTAGCTTGAGCGGTGGCCCCATAGTTGTGCCTCATGGGACCCAGATGTCCTTTCTGAGCTACGGAGTGGCTTCTAGAGTGGTTAATAATGTCTTTATACTTGAGGCAGTGAACGCCGCAAACCCCCTGATGGATTTGGGGTTGTGTCACAGAAAACCAGGCTGAGCTCGAGTCTCTAGTGACAGCCATTTTTCCTGGGGCCTGGGCACTGAGTGTTTACAGGGGCTGACGTTCATAGGGGCCTACTGCATTTTCCTCCTTTCTTCTCTAGCTGTGTGTTTAAATGGGTGTTTGTTGGGTATGATTAGGGTGTGATGTCTTCGAGTGCGCAGATCCAGACTCCTACTCCCCCGAGTTCAAATCCTGCCTCTGCGTCTTCCGAGCTTTTGCCATGAGGCAGACAACCTCTCTGTCCTTGGTTCCCCGCAGTCGTGAGGATCCGAGAGTTGATCCACGTCCACTGCTTAGCACAGTGCCTGGCACACGGGAATGGCAGAGAGCACGAGCTGGTGACCGGCTGAAGTCCTGGCCCTACAAAGGCCTTTGTCTCTTTGTTGGGCAAACAAGCTCCCAGCTGGCCAGGGTTGGGCCTCCTTGGCCAGGAAGGCAGGGCCTCCACTTGGGTACTTGGCTCAGGCCCCGAGACGTCCTTGGCAGGCCTCGCTTGGAGCGGGTACTGGTGCTGAGTGCTTTGATGAAGGCGCTGGAGGACTCTGGCCCCCGCTGCCAGCCAGCAGCTGCTTGGAGAGCACAGGCGGCCGGGCTTGGCTGCAGCTTCTCCAGCCCAGCAGGTAAGCCTCCCTCTTCCCAGCCGTAATGGAAAGGCACCTTCTGCCACCCTTCTCCCTTCAGCCCTCTCCCTCCCCGTGCGTCTCCAGCTGAGCTGGGACCCCAAGGCCGCTGTCTCCCCCATAGTGCTGTGTTTACTTCTTGGGACCCTGGAGAGAGCTCAGAGCTTGCAAGTCAGGGCAGGAGGCTTAGACGCCTAGGCAGCCTGAGAGGCTCTTTACTTGTAAGTCGATCTCTCCCCAGAAGCCTCTTTGAATGTTTAGTGGGGATTTACTGTGCTCGGCCCCCTTCCGTGCTGGGCCTTGAAGACGCTTCCCGCCTCTCTCGGTGCATTACTGCTGCTGCTAACCCAGCTCTGGTTATTTCAGCTGATCCCATTGGCTGGTGTGTCACTGTGTCTGTCTGTCTGACTCATGCAGATTTCCATGAAACAACAATTTAACTTGGGCGACTTAATTCACCAATAAAGTGAGCATTGACTTAGACACGGTTCTTAATGGCACAAAGATAAAAACAGCCCTTTATACCCAGCACAACTGCTGTGAAAGGGTCTGTTCGGCCCTGGCCGGTTTGGCTCAGCGGTTAGAGCGTCGGCCTGCGGTCCAAAGACACCCGGGTTCGGTTCCCGCGAAGGGCACGTACCTCGGTTGCAGTTTGTCCCCGGCTCTGGTTGGGTCGTGCGAGTGGCAACCACTCGATGTGTCCCTTTCACATCCATGTTTCTCTCTCTCTCTCCCCCTCCCACTCTATCTGAACAAAATATCAAAAAATGTCCTTGAGTGAGGATAAAAAAAAAAAAAAGGGTCTGTTTGCCCTGAAGTCTAATTTCTTTCCAAATAAATGTTTGGTCAAGATTTCAGGTGGGAAAGAAGAGGTCAGCTGAGCCACA